AAATTGTATGAAATTCATCTTGGTGTATAATATAATTAAACAAATTGGTATTTATACGTAGTTTCAAATCCTAATATTTTTATTTATTCTTATTTGTCAAAATTTTTGTTTAATAGAATTTTTAAATTAATAAATTTTATGAAATACAATGTTTATTAAATATAAATTTATTTAAAAAGAAAAAATATTTGTATGGAATTTTGTCTAACAGAATTATAATTTAATGGAAATGTGACGCAGCAGATATTTTATAAGCAAAATTTTTAACTAAACCAAATTGTACATATTAGTAATTTTAATATTAAGAAAATTTATTTTAATGGATTTTATATTTAAGTAATCTTTTATTTATATGAATTATTATTTAAAGAAATTGATATTTAACAAACATTTTCTTTAGACAAATTTACATATTACATAATTATTTCAATGAAATAAAATTTCATTTTTCTGACGACTTTTGACAAATATTGACGAGACTAAACAAGAAAGTTTGGCTATTGTAAAATATAATACTTCACGGTTTAATAGTTTCCAAATTCCGAAAATGTATTTGAAAATCAACATTTCTTAGAATTGTCATAAATCAAGTGGAATAGCGAAAGAAAATGTAATCTCTAGTTTCTTTAGAGTCATAAAACCGAGAAATTCTTGAAAGAATATAAAAAATATCTCAAGTGTCCTTTTCCATAGGACAATGCAACATGTGTTTACCATACTTGTGACCACAGAAATGGCTTCGAAAAGTCACGTACACATAGACTTTCATTATGCGACGAAACTTAATTATCAATTGTATAATATGAACGTTATGAACAATTAACAACAATATTATATTGTTGCTAATAGTGCAGCATGAATGTATTATTTGAAAATGATATTATTAGTAAACTTTATCTGATTGATTGTTGTAATATTATGGTATAGGATATATACAAATATATATATATATTTATGCATATATTTGTAACGTATTAATATAATAATAATATTATAATTTGTAACGTAATAATATAATAATAATATTATATTATGATACATTATCAAATTGGTTATCGTTATAATTGTTGTTTATATTTAAATATGATGAGTGCAGTATAAGAGATTTATTGTTACTAGATATGATGTAAATAATTAATAATTGTGTAATTAGTGTGAATGCAAAAGGGTTATGTTCACTTGTTGTGATACATGTTTTCAATACATAGAGTATGTTTATACGTGTATTAGTGCAGTGCAGTGTTAGTGTTGTGATTCTAAAAACTTCATAGACTTTACAAACTCTATAACATGGCATGCGCAAAGATTCTGTCATGGACCAAGGGATAAATGCTCTCTCACGAATTCAGTTCTACTTTGGAGTTCTTTCGTAATGTACTTCAGAGTAGTCCCAAAAATAGTTATAAGAATAACATCGACTTGTGTAATGTTTTGACTTTAATAAATGTATTGGGTTTACTCGCGAATTTAGTTGGATTAATGATTAATTAATATTATTAACTAGCTGCGATACCCGTCTTCGACGGGTTATTAGTTATTGTTATTCCTACCTATATATTAATAGTTACGATACCCGTCTTCGACGTGTTTCTTAGTATTTTTAAAGTTTTCCATATTAAGTATTGATTAGTATTTAACCAACTACATTTAAACTAATTTTCTTGATGATTATTAATATTAATTAATGAAGAAGAAAACGAAATTTTAAGGAAAGTAAAAAGATAATGTTTAGAATTTTTAAAATCGCTCTAAGTGTGAAAACCATCATGGCTTAATAACGGCCCAGTACTGGCAAAGTTGTCACCTAGTCTTGGGCGATATTATTGGGACGACTCTTGTGGTGTTAATTACGGTTGGACGTCGCGTCGGCAGACGTTAATGGCCCAATATTGACTGACATTACTTACCCAGAATTGGCAAAATACAAAAACTAATATAAATTATTACATTTTTTATTAATTAACTAATTAATTTATCATATTTATACGTCTTTTATTTCACTTTGCTACTCTGACGTGAAGTCAAGAAAGCTTAATGGTTTTATAAGCTACACTATTTATCGATATTGTGATATTATTATGGCGAGGTACGTCCCAATATTGGCAATTGTATTTTGACATCATAGCAGATACAAAATTTTTGCTATTAATGTGCCATTACTGAGCCGAGCAACGTCCCAATATTCTGAAACTGAAATTACCAACGTTTATTCGACGAAAATTTTTACTTTAGCTAATTGCTTATTTTAATATTAACAGCCCTTTAAAAAAATTACGAAAGGATCACGGATTTCCCGAAATTCCTGGAAATTCAACTAAATTATTGTTTCCTCGCCTCGCAAGCATTTTTTTCTCTTAATAATCAGAAGCCATTTAAAAAAATTGCAAAAGGATTCAAGGCGAGGAAAGTAGTGATTTTTATTTTTTTGTCACGGATTTCCCAAAAATCCCAGAATTCAGTTTTATCCAATACTTTCAATTACAACTTGCCATCATAGATAGAAAAGTTTATCCTAATAATCTGACAATAATGTACCACTATTGGTCCGTGCTAAGTCCCGTTACCAGCAATGAGATGTTTTGTATGCTAGTATATAGGCCCAATTAATTTTTGCCAGTTTTCTGCAGACCTTCACTGAAAAAATTACATTCTAAGTTTAAGAAAATCTTCTTAAATATGCGCCAAGAATATTCCCCCACTTAGATTATGTGGGAAATATTCTTACAATAAGAAGAAAATTAGTATTGTAAGAATGTTTCCCACTTAATTTAAGTGGGAAATATTCTTGGCGCATATTTAAGAAGTTTTTCTTAAAATTAGAATGTAATTTTTTCAGTGTTGACGGGCCCGTTTTGCAGTCTTGGAATTTCACACTTGGAGCTTATAAAAAATCATTTATTAGCTTTTTTTCCGAGAAGCACCACGTGGAGGTAACAACTATTAGTATTGTTTTTGGCAAGTTTTTAAATCCCGTGCAGAAATTGCCCTAACAGCACTGCAAAAACAGCACTCACTCGTGTCTTAAAATGAGTTGCTTTAAGTGTTTAAACCATTGAGATACAAAATCTGTTTTATATTGAGACATTTAATTTCATCTCGTGTCTCATTTTAAGACATTAAAGGTAACTCAATGCGTATAAGACACGTAAAACGTCTTCTTAGTGTGAGACGGATACTCGAAACACATTTCGTGTCTCAAAATGCATTGCTAAATGTGTAATACACTTTGAAACGTCTTAAAATGAGACACATATCTGTTTCAAATATGTGGACTAAGATATCTTATGTGTTTCAAATATGGGACAAAACGTCTCAAAATGAGACACTTGTTTTTGCAGTGAGGGCCCTGACCCCGCATGAAACCAGGACCCGACCTGGCAGCTCGTCAAATCAGGCTTTGCGCCATGGCGCCGGCCGGGTTCCTTGTTTCACCCAGGTCTGGACCCGGCCAGGCCCCTGTCAAAATTTCTACTCGGGATTATTTTCCAGGAGCTTAGTAAAACTAAAAAAATTCTTGTTAATTAAATTTGATAAAAGATATAAAACATTTTCATTTCAGTATTACTAAATTATCTTGGATCATAATTTGTAAAAACAAAAAACATCTTATTTAAAAGTAATAAGTAGGTAAAATCAAAAAAATTAGATATTAATATTTTCAATTTTTATGGGTAAAAATATTTAAACTTTTAAATTTTAGATTTAAAATTCCTATTTTTTCTATTTTTATGATAAAATTGAAATTAAAATTACCAAGAAAACAAATTAATTAATTAATTAGAAAATATCAATACCAACTTAATGCAAGAATTAATTAATATTTAACCCTTTGAGTAGCAGTGATACATTTAATTCATATGAACATTTTTTTGTTAACTTCTGCATAACTTTCTTGATTTTAAAAACTGAATATTGAAACAATTTTTTTGGTCCAATGAGGCAAGTTTCTTGCTTTAAATACTGGTCTTTAAATAAAAAAAGTTTAATAACTTTCCATAAAAAGCTTGTTTAAAAATCAAGAATCATCATTTTTGTAGAAAAAATTTGATCAGAAAAAACGAAAAAATTTCAAAATACGTCTTTTTTTGAAATTTTAGTATAGAAATGGGTTGTATTTATCTAAAAAAGTTAGCTAAGGATAGTTTTGCATCCATTTTATAAAAAATAAAAATTTTTCATTTTTTTGATTTTTCGAATTTTTTGAAAAAATGTCGTAACTTTCGTTCAAGTTAATATTTTTTAATCGGATAAGGCTATGATTTTAAGTTACGTTAATACCTAATAGACTGCCAAGTTTCACTTTAATCGGTTAAACCGTTTTGAAGTGATGCGCGAACAAAGTTTTGCATACAGACAGACAGACAGACAGAAATTTTTTTTTACATTTTTCGAATTCTCATGTCTCAAAACAAAAAAATATATAAAAATTTTCAAGCTTGGAGCATTGTACAGACAGAAGTCTGATTTTATTAATATAGATTATTAATTGATCCTTCTTATTCGTGAGGTTTTTCCCTCCGTTTTAACGGAAATCAGCTTGTTTTATTTAAATATTTCCGCCTTCCTTTTCAAAGGATTAAACCAAGATTTAACATCGAATGAAATCGCGGATCTTACGCCTGCGCGTAAATAACGTAACTCCGCACGTAACATGCCTAACTAAACGCGTGGGAAATTTAAATCTTCCGTGTGGAAGGTAAGTACTAAAATTAAGATCATTTTTATTTTAAAAAATTTATTATGTTCATTAAATTGATTAATGTTGATGAAAAATTAATATTCAACAGTACACTTATTGAAAAAATCTTAAACATTAAACTTTTTTTAGTGTTACATTGTTTCATTTCAATACTTTTAAGAAGTATTTGATTTGAACAACCATATTGTTTATTAAGGAAGTTCTATCGTATGACTAAACTAGTCAAAACAATAACCATTTTTCTCTGATTTGATTCACGTGGTAAATTAGGAAATCTGGCAACACTGCAAGTTACATTGTGTACATTGTCATTAGCTGTCATTAGCTGTTGTTTTGTATTTTCGTGTAATTTATTTGAAAAATGGGAAAAACTGAAAATTTTACAGGAGAAAGGAGTAACAAGTTTTTTTTTAATGGTAAAAGAGTCAGGGAAAAAGTTTTTCGTAATAAATGTCGTCTAAAAGAAGAAGGAAAGAAACTACAAAGTATGCCTGTTACTAAACGCAACGAAAAGGTGGTTTCTAACCTTAAAGAAAAGGGAAATATTTCCAAAATTTTCGAAGTTGAAGGTCGGCGAATAGTTCACATAAAAACTCTTGGGGAGCAAATGATTTGCGAAAAGTGCAACGCTGTTTTGTCTCTATTAGACATCAACGACGAAAAACGAAGTGGATTAGCTTCTACCTTTTATATTAAGTGTCGTTTATGCGAAGTACTTAATTGTGTTTCCACTGATAAGCAGCACAAAGTGGTTAATCAGAAAAATCATTTCGACACAAATACAAAAGCTGTAATTGGTAAGTATATTAGTGATTTCTATAAAAATAGATAAATTATGTAAAATTCAATTACATGTTCTTTTCATAATTTTGTGTACAATTTTCAAATTATGTTTTATATTGTATCTTCTTATTGTGAATAACTAAAAAATTACTTTAACGACAAGAGTTATTTTCATTAATAATTGCTTTTTCACAGGTACTCTTAATAATGGTATGGGCAATACTCATTTGAATTGACTTTTAACATCACTGAATATTCCACCTTTGAACTGGAATACGTTCAAAACTCATGAAAAGGAAGTCGGAAGAGTTGTTGAGGAAATGGCACAAAAAAGTTGTAAAAATGCGACTATTGAAGAGCGACAAAAAACAATAGATAATTCCGATCGATTAATGCCTATGTTGTAAGTAATAATGATATAGATGATTAAATGAAAAATAATCATTGGGCATAAGTGACAGTTTATAAGAGAAAATTATGCATCTTTCACAATATTTATAATTTAAGAAATTTTTTATATTATTTTTTATTTTAGATTTTTATAATACGCAATGATTTATTAAAAAGTCCCTTTTTAGAAAATACGTATACGATTTCGTTGTCGATCGTTTTTTTTGTAACTTTAGAATTTTGTATTTTTTTATTCTAAACAAAATCTTAAAGTTACAGAAAAAACGACTCAGAGTTTAATGTAATGTATTTTCATTTGTGTCTTTTAATTTGATTTTTACAAACTCAGTTATTTTTTATTTTTACTTTTATTTTACTCTGTTATTATACAGTATATTTATAATTTACAAAAGGTTTTTTTATTTTGCAACGTCTGATTAAATATTGAGGCTGATTTTTATAAATTAATTGTACATTGTAATTTCGATAATTTTTAAATATTTCGTATTAAATAATACTTAAGTTTTGAAAAATTTCATATTATAGTCAATAATTGATTTAAAATTTATTCTCAGATTTATTGATTAACTTTACACTCCTCCATCGATGAACAATAAGATACATATTTTGAATGTATTTATATAATCGTATTTATCTATGTAAATTATTGTAAATGTTGCTTTTGATCTTGTAATAAATAAAAATTGATCAGTTATTGTGTTTTATGCTTTAAAAGACCTGTCCACTTAAATAAGGATTTCATTTTTCCGGATGCGTTTCGAATTATTCAAGATAAAATCAGAGTTGCGTCAGAAAACACAGTACGAATAGCCGCGTCCTTCGATCAGGGTTGGTTTACAAGAGGCACGGGAAGAAGTTATGACAGTCTTTCCGGTACTGGCGCTCTCATAGGTTTTTTCTCCAAAAAAGTATTGTCTTATATCACTCTGAACAGAAAGTGCAAAATGTGTGATCTTGGTCATTCGCCAGACGATCACGATTGCAGGCTGAATTTTGAGGGAAGCGCAAAGGCTATGGAGCCAAAAGCCGCTGTTCAATTGATAAACAACAACAGTATTTTGGATGAATCTCATGTTCAAGTCGGCATTATGATTGCCGATAATGATAGCAGCTCCATAAGTGCTGTACGAAGTACCAGTAATCATGAAATTGTTAAACAAGCGGACAAAAACCATACGAGCAAAGGCGTAGTGAATGAATTGTATAAAATTAAAAAAGATCACAAGGAATCAACAGCTAACGCAATAAAATATTTACAAAAGTGCTTCAACTATTGCGTGTCCCAAAACAAAGGAGATAGCGAGAAAATGGCAGATGGAATTAATAATATAACTGATCATTGTTTTAATGATCATAAAAATTGTGGACTTTGGTGCAATTTCTCGAAGGATCCTGAAAATTACCGACATTCGATCATTGGAGACGGTTTCCAGAATACAAGTTTGAAAGAAGGTTTGAAATCGTTATTTGCAAAATTAGCAGAAAATGCAAGTCGATTTTCAGCAGGTGAGTCAAGCAATGCTAATGAAAGTTTAAATGCAATGATCGTTAGTAAGGCGCCGAAATCTAGGATGTATGGGATGACTTCTTCGGGCGACATACGAGTTGTATGTGCTGTAAATAAAAAAAATGAAGGAGAAAAGTACGTGGGTAAATTATGTAACCAATTAAATTTATCTCCTGGAATTCACACAGCAAAATACTCAGAAAAATATGATTTGTACCATAAAAATAGATATTTCAGATCATTGACTCAAAAATCTAAAAGTCGTCGCCTATTTTTAAAAAAAATAAACGAGAATTTTGAATTTTCAATTTATATTCAGCCAACTCAAAAAATTAAAGAAGATGCAAGTGCCGTAAACGGTCTGCGATTTATTGAAGGGAATTTATACTTGCACAATGATATGGTTGTCACAATGTCCTTGTCGGAAGCAATGCAAGCTTTTTACCAATTTCTTTTTTCTCTGGAAAGAAAGTGCATCTTAGCTGCACATAATTGCAAGTTTGACTATCCAAGGCTTATGAAAGCTGTTAAAACTGTTAACATGACACAGCATTTTAAATCGGTTGTTGAGGGATTTTCTGACACTCTTCCTATAATTGCAAAATGCAGTGGCAGAAAAGGAAAAGGTCAGAATAAATTAGAAACAATATCCAATGATCTGCAAATTAATACTGAAGGAGCACATAATGCTATTGCTGATGTCGTAATGTTGGAACAGGTGTTAGTTAAATTGAAGATTTCAAATGAAAAAATTGTAGAGTCGACCTTGAACTGGAATGAGATTGAAAAAAAGACGTTTCTGCTGAGAAATTATCTAGTGATATGAAAAAATTGAGTGCATTGAATCAATGTACTTCGTATGCTATCAGAAAAAAATAGTCGCTTCCAATATTTCATATGACGTGATTAAAAACGCGTTTAAAGAAAATAAATTTGCAGGTCTTATGAATCTCTTAGGTAAAGACGAAAATGACAATGTTCGAGTGTCAAAATGTCGTACAGTTATTTCCAAGATACACGATTTTTTCGAGCAGGACAAAGTTAATAAAAATTGACTTGTTCAGTTCATTTTAAGGAAATAAACCGAAGGTTTTAGATGTTTTTTTATTAACGTTAAATTTGAATCGTTCGAAAAATTGTTTTCGATTTTCAAAGCGTCGTAAAGTTATTTCCAAGATTCATGATTTTATCGAGAAGGTCAAAGTTAATAAAAATTGACTTGTTTAGTTTATATTATTAAGACAAAACCAAAGGATTTGATGTCTATTTTTTAATGTTAAATTTGAATCGTTTAAAAAATTGTTTTCGAGTGTCAAAAAATATTACAATTACAGTTAATATAAAATTTTTTGTTGCATTATTTCAATTATTATAGGTTTTTATAATATATTTATAAATAAATATATACATACTTTTATTTATGTATATAAACAAGACAACTTGTGAGAAAATTGAATATTTAATTAATCATATTATTATTATAAAGTTATTATATATGATTATTAAATTATAATATCACTATAATATATTATTAATTTAATTATAATATACTGTACTAAATTGCTTTAAATTGTATATTACTTTCCATAATTTATCTTATTTATATACTTCAATTACTTCAAGTATTATATGTTTTTGTGATATTTTTCATAATAATAATAAATATTTTATTAACTAATAGAATTTGTTTTTGATTTAAATATTTTACTTTTTTCCCAAATTCAAATTTTAAAATCACGCGCGCTTGAGTATATATATATAGGTATACTCTAACCTTAAAACTTTGACACGCGGAATGCTGTGTTGCCAGACGTTGCAATCCCTACTCTCTGTTTCACAAAAAATAAAAAAAAATTGTATAAATTAATTAATTAAAACTCTCACAGGTACCTATTGTTCTTTTTTAAGTACAATTTCGATTCATTGCATATCTGTCCTTAACTATACAAACTTTGATCAATATCTCTTCATTTAATAATTTGTAGTACACTCTAAAAAATTCCGTTGTTAATTTACAACGTCGGACGTTGGAAATTATTTGCTTCACGTCCAATGTAGTAAGCTTACAAGCTGCTAGTAGTAAAACACGACCTAAATGTAACTAAACAATCCGCGTGTTATTGCACAACCTCAAAGTAAAATTACAATTTTTGCGTTATGAAACATGCCGTGTGTAAATATATCAAAAAATTGGGTTGTATTACTATAAATAAGGTTATGTAAGCGGTTCGCGTATTTTTCTCAAAATTTATAGAATTTAATTTCTATCACTGAAAAAACACAGGAAAATTTCAAACTGAATTAAATTAAACATATTTTTCATTTTATAAAAGTTTTTTTAAACATATTATTTATTACACAAAATAAAATATATATACATATAGCAGCTCCAGCGTGTGTCGCGTTTCAAATATTGAACACTGAAACAAATATATGTCTTTTTCATTACAAATTTATTTATATTTCTTTTTCGTTTAAATTATTATTAAATATATCTAATATTACTTTTTAATTTTCAAAACTTTCATGTTACAGTTATTAATATACAGTGAAATGATATATGTGAATTGGTCTATGAAAAGGGACCTTACGTGTCAAAAAATCATTTTTTACTTTTTTATTGATTCGGATAGGGTTTGAAACGCTCTTTAAGATGGTGAAAACCAAAAAATCATAAGTTGATTAGAAGTTTAAAAAAAAAAACTTAAAGTCAGAAGAAACAAGAGTAAAAATACGAAAAAACTGATTTTCTGTTATTATAGGGGAGAGGGCCCCAAGGTGGTCAGGGCCCTAAGGTGGTCACCCTAAGAAAATTTTTGTATATTAGTTAGTATCTTCAAATGTTTTTTGTTATTGTTATTATTTGAGAAGACAAAGATTTTAGTAAAGTTTTGAGGTAAATAGTCGTATGAGTCTCTTTGTAACGTGAACGTCGTAAAATTTCTGTTTTTAAATGATCGAGAAATTTTTTTCTCAGGGTGTTAAAATCATCGAAATTAACTATTTTAAATTAGTAAAAATCGTTATAATTATCTTTATATATCGTACAATAATATTCCAAATGAATATAATTAATATTGTGCTTTAAACAATTTTTTCATTAACGTTTAAAAAATTGTGTCTTGGCCCTAAGGTGGACACTTTTTTGGCCACAAGGTGGTCACTTTTGATTTTTTATGAAAATGTGTTTATACGCCATATTTATCAACATTTATCACTGTGAATGTGAATTTTATCAATTTTTAAGTTTTATGATAAATAATAATGAAATAGAATTATTTTCAAAATTTTACCTATCTAATACATACACAAAAAGTATCATTTTTGACGAAAGGACAAAGTGCAAAAAAAAATATGTAATATGTTTCTGTGATCCTGAAAAACAATTAATATTAAATAAACAACTTAGTAATACGTTTTTTACATTCTTTAAAACTTTTTTAGTGAATTTTTTTATGGTGACCACCTTGGGGCCACTTTTTTAAAAGTCGAATTTTCAACTTTTTTTAAAAAGTGCCATAACTTTTTTTTTATTAATGAAATAAAAAAAACTTTATGATAGGAAGTTAGGTAATAAGATAAAGTTTCAAACGCCGTATTATTGACCTTTATATATAATTCCATTTAAAATCTACAGTCGTTCAAAAGATGGGTGACCACCTTAGGGCCCTCTCCCCTACAAATTAAAATAACGAAGACGATAATTTTTTATTATTTAGAAAAGTTGACAGTTTCTTTGACAACTGTCAACAGTTAAAATTCAAATTTGATATCATATTCGTAATCAGCGACCTCAAAAACCTTATTACTGTCTTTTTTACAAAAAACGATCA